GGACAGGGTTTTGGGGAGGCAGCGCTATGCAGCCGGCTTTCCTGGCCCTCCGGCGAAGGGACTTTGTGCCTGTTTCCACGAGGTGGCATCCCTGACACTGATACAGAGAGCACAGTGATGAAAAGCCTCTCCAAAAGAAAAGAGAAAGTCTCTAGGAAAAAAACGTTTGTCTCACTTTGGAGATGCGAGGTGCCAGGGCTCCCGGCCGTGGCAGGGAGGAACCGGAGGAGAAGCCACCGCTTGAAAATGCGTCTCGCCTATATGTCACCTGCTGCAAGTGCCAAGCCACGCAGCACCGCCCGCGCTCACACTGCGTTGATGATTTTCGACTCCGCTTGGGTTCGCTGTGAGCTTTGCCCAAAGCCACCTGTGGCCCAGCTCAGAGTGACGTTGGGTGCTTATAATTTTGGTGGAATACCAAAATGCGTCATCTCTCCATCATCACCCTAAAGAAAGCATCGCCCCCAACGTACCTCCTGAGCCCTGTTGGGTCGGGCAGTGATTTGCCCATTGCAGGTCACTGGCCTGGGCACAAAAATCCAGCTGGGTCCTTGATGAGTCTTCAGATCCAAGGTTTTGGCTGCAGTGAGGCCATGGCTTCATTTGATTTTTAATTGAAGTCCTGAGAAATTCGGCATACAAGGGGGATTGCTTGACTGCCTTTGAACCTTGTATTCTGAAGTGGGTCTAAATCAGAACATTTTAGTTTATTCTGGCTCTCTACAGAGCCCAGCCCAGACCTCCCAAACTGGGGGTGATGTGCCATCGCAGATGCCTCTGTTCAGGCCCCATTTCTTCTTTCTAGCCCTATAGGTTAACTGGGGTACAAACTGCACTGAGTCTGGGTTAAATAAATAGGACCTGCTATGAGCTGTAAGCAGGTTTGAATTAAATCCTCAGAGGTTTTAATTTTTCCTTTCTTGAAACTGCACCATTAATTACCATACCACATGTATTTCAGTCCCAAGCATCTCTCAGAGCTCCCCTGGCATATTTCTATGGCAACATCGCTGTGGTTTTGTCAAACTTGCGTTTGTTTTTAGAACAGCTAGCGCCGACCAGCAAAACAAGGGGCTGACTTTGTGCCTGGTCCCTTTCTGTACCAGGAAGCAAAGCTCGTGCTTAGTCCCTGGTCCTGCTGAGCCAGGGATGGTCCCTTGTTCGGGGACCCGAGAACCGGAGGGCAGTTCCCTGCCTCGGTGCTGAAGGGGACATTCCCTGTGGGAACTCCGGCTCCTGTTGCTGCTACTGGCAGAGGAAAAAACTGCACACGGCAATGTTTTCCTGTTTGGAAAAACCCGGGGTGGTGCAAAACCTCCTGTGCTTGGCACAGGGACAGTCAGCCAAGGAAGCTGGGGAACGGAGGAGGAGGCTAGAACATGAGATTAAACCATCAGTGGGAAAACAGCCTCTCATGTCATCATGTAACATGGCAAATGAGCGTAAACAGACACGTTAACTCTCTCCCCAGGCTCCGAGAGCTCAAGTTTCGGCCCTGTGGTTCCTGCAGTGATTTAAGTCCCCAAGGGAAGCGCTGTGCTGCTCCCCATGGCATGCACCTGGCTTGGGACGAGTGGAGCCAGCGTAGATTTCCCGAGACGAGTCGCCCTCCTCTGTCGTGGCCGTGCTGTGTTGTGTCAGCCTTGGCCAGCTTGGCCAAATGGCCACCACATGCTGGGACACCCGTGTCCTACTTCCAATTTGTTGCATGACATCACTTTGTAAAGCTGCCCTGGAAGGACCTCGTATGACCACATCCTTCCCGGAGCCCACACGTGATGTCCTCTGCCCTGCAGCTCCCGGCGCCGGCACTTTTCCCGAGAACTGATTTATGAGCCCAAAGGTGCTCCAATACACTGCTAAACCCACCTTTGATGAGATGTGCCCCTGCCCCCAGAACGTCACGATGGGGGTACGTGGCACCCCCGGGGATGTGCGGGGGGAGCTTGAGCTATCCCCCCTCCCCACCACCCTGCTGGATTTGCTTCCGCTCCCTCCCAGAGTGGATATTCCCATCCTTTTTCCCTCCGAGCACCCCGGTGTTGAATTTTGGTCTACAGGTCCTACAGATGCAGCAACCGCAGCCCTTGGGCAGCCTCCACTGGCAGGCAGCGAGGTGAGATGTATTGCTCACTCCCAACAGCGGGTTTGCGCTGGGAGCTGAAATGCCCCCCCTAGATGAAACACCCCGAATTTGAGGGCGCTCCAGAGCCAACAGGCACATCTGATCCCTGACTTGGGGCTTCATTTGAGGAGCAATGCTCCTGCTGGGGTATTAGCTGTGTGCGATACAATTCCTCTGCAGAGGAGAGCGTGCAGAGAGAAGGCATCTTCCGGCCACTTCTCCCAGAATTACAGGTTATTACTCAGAGTAAAGGAGATACGGCTAGCCTTTATAGGAGCTGTGGGGTGCACTATTTTCTCTCTTTAAATGATATGTTTTTGGGTGGTTAACTCAAGCTTATTTCGCATGGAAAAATTGGTATTAAAGGGCTCAGCTGTTAACAGGTTAGAGAGAGTACCAAAACCTGGCTGCCGTGAGAGCAGTCCCTGCATTAGGCCAGGGGAACCAGTCCAGACACCTGCACCAGCCAAGAGGCGAGAGCTCAGGAACACCTGGGCCCTGGGCACACACATGGCCCTGCAGCACTGAAATACAGGTCTCCAGCTCTCCTGCCTCCAGACACCCTCCCCAGACCCAGTGGCACCCACAACCAAAGTCTGCTGTAAGTGGGCCCACGTGAAACCCAGCCAGCCTGCCCCTGTTAGTGACACACACACACACACACACACAGAGCTCCACACCTTTTGGGTTGGTTGGTTGGTTGGTTTTTTTTTTTTCACTGTGGATGTTGTACCAGTTTTATTGGTAAAATTAACATGAAGCCTCACAAACGCTGGAACATGCTTTTCCTTTTAAAGAATTTCCACTGGACCTTAATGGTGAGCATCCAGTCGTTGACATATAAACTCTTACAAGCTGATGTGCACACATGCGCCCGGGGGAGACGGTGGCAGCGTCCTGGTGTCAGGGATGGTTTCTGCGCTACGCACGGGGAGCCTACGATTCATTTGCCAGCCTTCTGGGCCTTCTGGGCAGAGAAAACCCCCCCCCCCGCTCTTCTTCTCCACGTTCTTGATGACGCCCACGGCCACGGTCTGCCTCATGTCACGCACGGCGAAGCGACCTGCGGGGCAGAGAGCAAGGTGATGAGGGATATGATGCCGTGTTGCCCTGTCTAAGACTGAGCACTCTCAACTCTATCTCTTTTGGGGGCGTGAAGGTGGGATTTTACATCTCTCCAGTGCGGGGTAGCTAAGCCCAGGTCATGCAGCACTAGTGCCACTACTGTCACCGCTCCCCTCAGAGCAGATTTCTGCAGGAACTAGCACTTACCAAGCCATCACCACTTGTTCTGACCATCAAGCTAGCCCTGATGTTTCCCTCTGTTTAAATGACTATTTATTAAACTTAAATCATATCTGATTTCTGCAAGCCCCAGGAATTACTAAAGCTTCCAGGTGGGCAACATCATCCAAAGGAAGGATTGTGGTTTTCTTGCATCAAAAGCTGCCCTCTGCTGAGCAGATTTCCTTTTTTTTTTTCCCTGACCAATTTTGTTTTAGGGCAGAAGCAGGGAAGCTGAAAGTCTGCATGAGCAACATCAGTGCATGGCAACCACGAGAGTCTAGTAACCTTGACACAGAGGCCCTACACGCAACTCCTGCTTTTCTCAGAGGAAAACCTGGCCCTGCCTTTGAAAATAGCTACTCAGCTCAACAGCAAGGCTGCCTGATCCTCAGCGACCTAACACAGGTAATGCATCAGATTTTGGACCCCTCAGGACACGGGGGAGAGATGAAGGCAGGAATGTGCTGGGCTCCCTCCAGCTCCCCAGTGGGGACACCAGCAGGGAGTCGCTCGCTTACCAAGGGGAGGGTACTGGGAGAAGCTCTCCACACACATAGGCTTGCCAGGGATCATCTCCACAATAGCTGCGTCGCCAGACTTCAGGGACTTGGGGTTGTCCTCCAGCTTCTTGCCGGAGCGTCGGTCAATCTTCTCCTTCAGCTCAGCGAACTTGCAGGCGATATGTGCGGTGTGGCAGTCAATGACGGGCGAGTAGCCAGCGCTGATCTGGCCGGGGTGGTTCAGAATGATCACCTAGGGGACAGAGCGGCGTGAGATCGGGTGTAGGCCCCCGAGACCCCATGTGGTGTCACCATCGTGAAGGACTTGTCCCAGGGTCTGGTGCCTCTCACACTGCCCTGACCGATGCGGTGTGCATCAATGCCCTCTTGTGGCAGACACACCGAAAAGCTAGCAAATCAGCTTTCATGGCAGAAGTCTGCCTTAATTTAAAGCTTTGTTTAAGCTGTTATTTATTTATTTGGTGAGCGGAAGGACATGGGCTCATGTCCTCGGTTCCTGGAGGTTACTACCTCCTGTTCCACCCCAGAAGTGGCTGCATTTTGGTAGAGAGGAAGCAATTTCTACATGCACACGTGAGGTAGATTGCAAGCCTGCTGCCTAAACCCTGGGAAAGCTGCCAGGTAAACCTAAACCATTCAGCTTTCACGGATATGCCCCAGATATGCTACTGCCCTGAGATTTATCCCAGCGGGCTCAGCCCCAGGATGTGGGATGCTGGAAGACCCTGTGGCCAGCAACTCATACACCCCCCAAAACCGCCCGCTTTGCTGACCTGAGATGTGAACTGTGCCGCCTCCTGTGGCGGGTCCGATTTGCTGTCACCGCAGACATTGCCGCGGCGGATGTCCTTGACGGAGACGTTCTTCACATTGAAACCAACGTTGTCACCGGGCAGGGCCTCACTCAGGGCCTCGTGGTGCATCTCCACAGACTTCACCTCAGTGGTGATGTTCACAGGCGCAAAGGTGACCACCATGCCAGGCCGCAGGATGCCGGTCTCCACACGGCCCACAGGGACTGTGCCGATCCCTGGGGGAGGACAGGGAGAGAGCAGAACAAATCGTGACCAGCTTGGCATATTGCTTGGGAGCGTGGCCAGAGTCCGGCCAGACATACAAGCAAGATAAGTCCAGCAGTTTTCACTAAAGACCAAGAAATACACGCTGCCACTAGGGTGGCTAATTACATGAAGGGGACGTTTTACACTCAGGGTCTTCAGGAGACTTTGGGGAAGCCCAGGAGTTGGGTAAAGAAGCATCAAGAGAAACAACCATGAGAAAAGGCTGGGGAGCTTGGCTAGATCAGTTACTTTGCATCAGCCCTTGTGCCTTTGCCATCCCCTTCCCCATGATGTCTCTTCTCTAGGGACTTGTCTGGTCCCATGATGCGATGATATCTGTCTTCCCTTCCAGCAGAGGGGAGGACGCTCCGGTCAGGAGCACGCAATCTGCCTTTGCGAACAATAGACACTGTTAAAATGCCTGTTGAAACAGCAAGGGAGTGACATTCAACCCCTGCCTTGTTTCTGCAGGGCACATGTCCTTGGAAAGGGGAGGAGAAGGGCTGGGAAGGGTTCATGCCTGCCCACTGTGGCCCGTGGGGAAGTGGCACAGAGCTGTGAGCAGGCTGGCAGTCACATTGGGTATTTATAGCTCGGAGAAGTGTCCCCATCGGGGAAGAGGAGATGGTCAGGCTGATGCCCTCCATACATGGCTCACGCTGCGGTCTGGCTTAGTAGACAGAGGTGCTGGTGACTGACACCGGCATTTGGAGGGCACAGCACGGGCATGGCTGCTGCCAGCTGCGGGCCGCGAATGCTTGTCCCATGGATCTGCCTCATCCCAGCCCAGACTCGTCACGGGCAGCGTTCCCGAGCGCTGCTCTGGTGGGCTCCAAGCTGGCCTTGCCCCCAGCCGGGGCCCCAACATGTTTTTGCCATTGGATCCCATTCCCTGCAGGCCCCCACCTTGTCTTTCCAGCCTCAGCCTCTGGGAAGCCCAAATTTGCAGCCGGGTCATGGCATCACAGGTTCCCTGGGGAGCACTCACAGGCCTGCTGGTCTTCGCCGGTCCCCGGGCACCTTCTGGCATGTCTGTCTCCAACCCAGGATGACCCAGGGCCAAATGGGGTCTCTGCCCTGCAGCTAATATCCCTCTGCCCAATATATCTCCAGTTGGAGGAATCCAATCCCTCTAATTTCCTAAAACCTGGAAACGCCATTCCCAAATTCCTATGGAACAAAGTCACCAGTTGAAGTGGAGGGGAGGGAGAAGTTAAGAGGGCTTTTGCTCACCTCCAATCTTGTAGACGTCCTGGAGGGGCAGACGCAGAGGTTTGTCTGTGGGGCGGGTAGGAGGCAGGATGGTGTCCAGGGCCTCCAGGAGGGACACCCCGCTGGCATTGCCTTCCTTACGCTCCACCTTCCAGCCTTTGAACCAAGGCATCTGGAGAACAGAGCAGCAAAAAGACGGGCTGAGCGTGCCACTTCTCAGCAGCCCAACCCTACTGCAGCCCCACCAGGTGCTGACCCATTCACCCAGCCTTAATCAAGCCAGTTCAGCCTCATCCTGGCTTTACCTGGGGGCTGAGGAGCTCTCCCACCCCATCGTCCCTGCAGGCTTATCTACACCCACTTGCTCCATCTCCACCCCGGTTCTCCCCTTTCAAGAAATGTGTAAATCATCCCTTAACAGGAGAAGGAAAAGGAGGAAAGTGGTTAAATCCCTCCATTGCTCCCAACAGAAGGCAAAAGAGAAAAGTGGTTAAACGGCTCTG